AATAGTCTTATGGATTCCCGTGGTATCGGATCCAACGCGTTGCACACAGTGTCAACGAGATCCTTGCTCTCCCTTTCATTAGGAAGGAGATGGGTGCCTACGTGCAGTATCAGTTGGGTGACGATTCAGGTCCTTGCAGCTGAAAAACCTTGAAATGAGCTCAATATTACGCAGCTGCAGGGGGGGGGCAGAGATAGGAGGGATCGCTAGAAGGGAGACAGAGGGGGTAAAGCTGAGGGAGAGAGGAGAGGTAGAGAATCTTGCGTCTTGTTGACCTGAAGGATCTTCTGTGAGAGCGTTTGAGTGATGACGAGGATGATGGGGAGAGAAAGGTAGGCCAACGTCCCGTCCCATCCCAACGCTGGATGTCCTTCCGTCCATCCCTGCGGATGTCATCAGCCCTCCCTTCGCATCCTTACTTGCTTCTCCGCCCTCCCCCTTTTCCTTCTTCTCCTCTGCTCCGTGTGTCTCAATTCCCTTCCTTTACCTTCCCCTCCCGTCATCTCCCCTCCCCTTCCCATCCCTTCCCTCTCCTAGTCACCTTGAAGAGCCAGGCAGTCGCATCGATAGGAAGGCCAGTCTTCGCGTTGTACTCACCGACGGGGCCCTGGGTGGGATTAGGAGCGAAGAAAAGAAGAAAAGAAAAGCGAAATGCGGGCGCAAGGGATAGTACAAGCAGAAGCAGGAAGATAGAATGAGAAGAAAAGGAGGAGGGAGGAGAAACTGGATTTGTCAAGGGAGGAGAAGAGGGCAGGAGGATTTACCTGAAGGGAAGGGATCCACAAGAAAGATTCTTCCAACAGATCTTTCTGTGCAAGCTGCAAGACAGACCTGAACACATCGTCATATGGCGATCAACAAACAAGCAGCGCAGCGGAGTATCAGTAAGATGACAAAGGGACCAAAAACAGTGAAGACAGACGGTGAGGAGAAGCAGGCGAGGAGGAGGAGGGGAAGGGAAAGGAGGAGCAAGGTACCTGTAGAGGCCGATGAAGACAGGGATCTGGATAAGCGTGGGAAGGCATCCTGCAAGAGGATTGACATTCTCCGTCCTGTAAGAAGCTTGTGAGTAAGAAAGCAAACTCTTTCTCTTCCTCCCTCCTCTTCTAGCAGGCTACTGTCTCCTCATCCCTGCCTCTGTCTCCTCATCCCTGCCTCTGTCTCCTCATCCCTGCCTCTCTCTTCCAGCACTTTCTTCTGCTGCACCACCTGTAGAGCTCAGCGATCTTCTCGTTCTGAGTCTGAGGGTCGTTGGCATATCGCGACTGGATGGCCTTGACCTTGGGCTGCAGCTGCTGGAGGGCGATGGTGGAAGACATCTGTTTAGAGCTCAGCTGAAGCCAAGGAGGATGATACAAGAACGAGAACTGCAGGAAGAAGAGGAGAGATGAAGGGAGAAGAGGATTATAGCTACCTGCTTGAAGTTGAGAGGATAGGTGACTGCTTTCACAAAGATGGTGAAGGTCGCGATGGCGTATCCCCACGCTCCTGGAATGCCCGCAGACTACGAGAAAGACAGTTAGGGGGGAAAGTGCAGGACGCGATTGAAGGATGAGGGCGTGCAGTGAGCGGGGAAAGTAAAACTTAACGGGCAAAGGAGGTGAAGGTGCAAAGGGAGATGCCGGAAGAAGCAGGCACAACCTTGAACGCAGTGTGCAAGGCGGTCAAGCAGGTCACAATCAAGTTGACGAAGGAGCCAAAGACGCCTATAGAGGAGGCGGGAGGTCAGAGAGCTCGTGGTAAGGGATGGGGCAACACCTGGCTTGTCCTGTAGAGAGAAAGCACCTCGTGAGAAGAAGAACACGATGGAGACGGTGGGCATGGAGAGAAAAAGTGAAAGGAGAAAGAAGAAGAGGAGGATGGTGAAACTGGAGAAGCAGGTGGTTGAACAGAGGAGCAGGAGGAGGAGGGGCAGGGGCAGGGGCAGGAGCAGGAGCGGGAGAAATGAGGGGAGGAGACATCGCTAACCTCTGTCGTTTCCGCTGCAGCAGCGGCAGCATCGGACAGGAGCTGCATTGCATCCTGCAGGGCAGCTGGAGGAGGAGGTCAGTCAGTCGACGAACATCAGCAAGCTGCTCGCGGTACCGGTGGAGGCGGCGACGTCGGCAGGGAGGTGGCTGCAACAAGAAACGATGAGTGGGACAGAAAGAGGAGCATTGGACGGCACCTGGGGTCAGCGAGGTGAAGGAGAGAGAGGAAGCTAGCAGCTTCTGTCCCTGGCATCATCACAGCCTGCACGCGTGTGCTGCTTCCGCGAGCCTTCTTCATGCCGGTGAGCGGGAGATGCTGTGAGGGAGGAGAAAGCCTGCGCAGAGAAGCCTGTGCAGCTAGCGGAGGAGCGAAGGAGTGGACGGCAACAGCAGTTGCCGCAAGCACAAGAGATCGTAGAAGCATCATGTTGCTTGACGCACCCCCTGCTAAGATTCATGTGAGTTTCTGCATCCCTTGTACCTCAACATCCCTTCACCTCACAGGTTACCAGACTACAACCAAGTCATCTCTGATTGCTCCGAGGCTACCAGACTACATCCTAGTCATCTATGATTGCTTCTGTTCCATCTTTTCCTCTCCTCTTTCTTGTCGTATTCAAATATATGCCATGCTTTCCTTCACTGGTTTTGCCATTTACCTGATCTCTTTTCCTCGTCCCCCTCTTCTCTCCTTCTTGTTTCTCATATTCTCACACTTGTCTGTGTCATATCATCATCGACTTGATCATTGATTTTCCAAAACAAAATCGAGACTATGATAATCATCAACAACTCTAGTTCGCCGTTGGCCAAACTTCTTCTTTGTGTTCGATGTCTTCAGGTCAGCAACAATCGAATGCGTATCGTGTTATACATGTTCTGGATGTTCGTGCTAATCTCTCAGCATTTCGCTCAGGGTTTCTTCCCCTCCTCTCCCCTCCCTCCTTTCATCCCTTCCTTCTCCTCCGCTTCCCTCCTTGCGCCATGTGGCCTCCTTGTATCAGCTGCCTCCTAAGGTTACACCACCCCCATACCACCCCTCATTTTCCCAATCAAAACACCCCTTCGACATCACACAGAGCACCCCACTCACCTTCAAATCAAACCTTATTCTCTACCCCCCGATATCCTATCAAGTACCCCTCACTTTTACCATTCTCATCGTCTGCTCCTCGTCCCTAATGGACCCCCACCCCGGCTTTTCCATATAAAAGCTTTCAGTGATCATGAGTCGAATGACGGCCCGCCTCACCGAAATATTATTATAACAACGGCAGTGGCCCTGAGTACCCGGACCCGGTACCCGGGCGTACTGGCCTAGCACCGGTGACCGGGCCGCCCGGCCGCAGTTCCGAGTTCACTGAGTCGCCGATCATCGGATCATCGGATCGGGTAACTCAACCGACCCGGCGTCCGTCGACGGCAGTGTACGGCGGTCGCGGGGCGGCCCACCGGGGCCGAAGTTTGGTACGGCGGGCCCCGGCGTACTACTACCGTGCCACCGTGTACGGTGATCGGATCGGACTCGGCGGTACGGTACTACCGTACGATCCGAGCCACCGGCCGTACGCCGGAGTTCTAATTGAACTTCGGGAATGGTGACCGTCATCGAGTGAGGCTCGCAGTGGGGCCCAATCATACCAAACTTGACTCCGGGCCGTTGAACTTTCGCCGCCGGGCCCGCGGACCGTACTCAGAGTCCAGCGCCCGGCCAGAAAACTTCTGGCAGCGGCAGACACAGATCCGACACACATTGAAGCCTGTTACATCAAAGCAAAAATGCCAGTACTCAGTTGACTAATAACTACGACCGGACGGAGCGTAGAAGTACGGTACTACGGTAGCAGCACAACAGGCACACACAGGCGAGTTCATTGAGACTCAAAATCAACTGGTTACTCAGAAGGAGCATCTGCCGGTGGATTCGCTTCACCGCCCTCAGCAGGAGCATCGCCTGCCGCTGGCTCCTCCTCCTTGGCTCCTTCCGCTGCCTCGTCGCCTCCCGCCGCTGCCTTGGCAAGCTCCTCCTCGATCCCGATGATCTTCGCCACGCCGTCAATCATCTTCTGCACAAGCTCAACCTCCGAAAAGCCAATGCGCTGCTTGTTCGAGATGTCCCACTTGGCTCCGATCGCGGCGGTGTGCTCGCCCGACGACCCTCGTGGCTGAAGGTCGTACTGCGAGCAGATCTCCTCGAGCTTGTGCGGGTCCTTGTTCAGCTCCGGCAGCGTGATCATCACGCTTGCTCGGAGCCCCGTCCCGAGGTTCGACGGGCACGTCCCGAGGAAGCCGAGGTTCTCCTTGTACATGAGCGACTTCCCGTTGGACTCCGCCGCCGTCTTGATCGCGTCCGACAGCTGGCAGAAGCGCGTAAACACCCCCTTCACGTCGCCTCCCTCCTCCATCGCGATGATCCTGCACTGGTCCTCCTCGTTGCACCAGCAAAGCACCGTCTTGCTCTCATTGTGGAAGATGCCGCGGCCCTCCGGCCAGTCTCGCCCTGCTCCCGCTGCTCCTAGGAGCTGCATCGGCCCAGGCTTCTGGAACAGGAAGCCTCCTGCCTGCAAGGCTTCCTCCTGCTCCGTCGACAGCGACCCAAGCGGGAAGTACTGTCCCTTGAGGTTGTCTGGCAGCGCCTCAAACGCCTGCTTCAGCACTCCCTCCACCGCAAGCCGATCCTCCTTGCTCGACCCGGGGGGCAGCGAGAAGCCCGAGATGTTGCGCGCCGCTCGCACTCGCGTGGACTTGACGTACTTGGCGAAGAGCGTCTGCTGCTCCTCGGTAAAGGCAAGCTTGCTGGGGTCAAGGTCCGACTTGTGGCTCTGCGTGTCTGGGTCGAAGTTGTGCCAGCCCTTGACGATCGGGTTGATGATCTCCTTGAACAGGTCGAAGCACTCCTCGTCCCCGCACGTGAAGCCGACCCCCAGATGAGGCCTCAGCACTCCCGCCTGCATCCCGTTGGACAGCGAGTACCCCTTGGACGACTTGGTGTCCTTGAGCTTAGCAAACAGCTCTGCGGTCATGTTCTTCCTCATCAGCGACCTATGCTTCTCAGTGAAGGGCGGGAGCTCGGTGAAGCTGATGTACTTGAAGTCGTCCGTGTCTTTCACGTCCGCCGGCGAGTTCTCGAGCTGCGCGGTCAGCCACTTGTCAAACTCGGCCTCGATCTCCGGCAGCTTGAAGCTCCCAAGGTCTTTCTTTGCCGGAGCATCGCCTGCCGCTGGCTCCTCCTCCTTGGCTCCTTCCGCTGCCTCGTCGCCTCCCGCCGCTGCCTTGGCAAGCTCCTCCTCGATCCCGATGATCTTCGCCACGCCGTCAATCATCTTCTGCACAAGCTCAACCTCCGAAAAGCCAATGCGCTGCTTGTTCGAGATGTCCCACTTGGCTCCGATCGCGGCGGTGTGCTCGCCCGACGACCCTCGTGGCTGAAGGTCGTACTGCGAGCAGATCTCCTCGAGCTTGTGCGGGTCCTTGTTCAGCTCCGGCAGCGTGATCATCACGCTTGCTCGGAGCCCCGTCCCGAGGTTCGACGGGCACGTCCCGAGGAAGCCGAGGTTCTCCTTGTACATGAGCGACTTCCCGTTGGACTCCGCCGCCGTCTTGATCGCGTCCGACAGCTGGCAGAAGCGCGTAAACACCCCCTTCACGTCGCCTCCCTCCTCCATCGCGATGATCCTGCACTGGTCCTCCTCGTTGCACCAGCAAAGCACCGTCTTGCTCTCATTGTGGAAGATGCCGCGGCCCTCCGGCCAGTCTCGCCCTGCTCCCGCTGCTCCTAGGAGCTGCATCGGCCCAGGCTTCTGGAACAGGAAGCCTCCTGCCTGCAAGGCTTCCTCCTGCTCCGTCGACAGCGACCCAAGCGGGAAGTACTGTCCCTTGAGGTTGTCTGGCAGCGCCTCAAACGCCTGCTTCAGCACTCCCTCCACCGCAAGCCGATCCTCCTTGCTCGACCCGGGGGGCAGCGAGAAGCCCGAGATGTTGCGCGCCGCCCGCACTCGCGTGGACTTGACGTACTTGGCGAAGAGCGTCTGCTGCTCCTCGGTAAAGGCAAGCTTGCTGGGGTCAAGGTCCGACTTGTGGCTCTGCGTGTCTGGGTCGAAGTTGTGCCAGCCCTTGACGATCGGGTTGATGATCTCCTTGAACAGGTCGAAGCACTCCTCGTCCCCGCACGTGAAGCCGACCCCCAGATGAGGCCTCAGCACTCCCGCCTGCATCCCGTTGGACAGCGAGTACCCCTTGGACGACTTGGTGTCCTTGAGCTTAGCAAACAGCTCTGCGGTCATGTTCTTCCTCATCAGCGACCTATGCTTCTCAGTGAAGGGCGGGAGCTCGGTGAAGCTGATGTACTTGAAGTCGTCCGTGTCTTTCACGTCCGCCGGCGAGTTCTCGAGCTGCGCGGTCAGCCACTTGTCAAACTCGGCCTCGATCTCCGGCAGCTTGAAGCTCCCAAGGTCCTTTTTGCTTTTTTCATTTTGAATCTCTGATTGAATCGGAGCAGCTTGAGCAGGTTGAGTTGCTGGAGCTGGTTGGGCTTCAGGTTTGGCTTCGGTTTGACTTGGCTGCACTGGTATCGTTTGTGTGGGTTGTGCGGGAGCTTGGGGCTCATTCGGCTTCTTATCGACGGGAGTAGGACCAGGCTTTTGAGCTTCTGGTTTCGTTGGCTCAGGGTTCCTAGGTTGGACGCTTTTGCTTGTGCCACAGCCCATGATGAGTGAGGCTGGTCTCTTCTACTTCACTGCCGGCACAACAAAGGAGGAGCTAATCGTTGAGAAAGGAATACAAACGAGTACAATCCTGTTACCAACCAAAATCAGCCAAAAACCATGCGAGGTTTTTGTTTCATTGAGTGTTGCGTCATTGAGACCCTGTCGAGAACCATGCTCAAAAGCATCCTCCGTACACCTAAAAACCCTGTCGGCATGAGCCAAATGGTCTGTTTGACAGCTTGGCAGGGATTTATATAGAAACGTGATCCTTACGACTCTTTCTGCTCTCCATAAACATCCGTGGTATCTACCTATCCACAACAGTGGATTGGTTAAGCAACTAGTCACACTGTATGAATGTTTCTCAAAGTGATTCAACACTGGACTCGCTTCTTCGTCTAGCTATTTACACTATGCTTGGATCTTTGTTACCAAAACGTTCTTACTAGAGGGTTGCTACCAATCTTGTTGACTTTGCAGGGAAAAAAACTTCGATCAGGTACGCTGCTGCAGAGGAAGAGCACACCATGCGTTCACTCTACCAGGAGTGCATAAATCAAGTGAAGACATAGCTGATTGATACTGCTTGCGGCAGGACGGTTCCTAACTGTCCTTTGCCTTGTGACAAGAAGGATCCGACCACACCATGGTATCTCGCCACTTCAAGTATCAAATCCTCCAGGTTCTACATCATGGACTATCACAGATGCTCCTCCTATATCTATAGCTACATCTCGACCTCTCATGTCTAGCGTATGCGTCTTGCCTCATACTCTCGACTGCCACCTCTCATTGCTCTTCCTCTCTCGCAGCGCAGTGCATCTTTACCAACCGCCGCCAAAAAAAGGAGAAACTGTCGACACTACCCACCCCTTCCCCATAATCCAGAACTGTACCCTACCCTTGATTTCGATAATTGTAGTGATGGTTGATCAAAGGCTACCCCTTCGATTTCAACACAGAACCCACCCTTTTGTCTGCATTTCCATTATTGAAACAACATGGATTCTCACCCCCACCCCCTCCTCTTGACCATCTTCCCCGTTCATAGGTATTCGCAAAGCCCATATTCGTACAATGAAGATTTGACTGAACCCTACCCCCTACTAAAACGTGAATATCCAGTTTGCAAGTACCCCCCCTTCTTTCGGCCCCCCCTCCCCATTTTCCGAATAATAACCTCAGCTCGCGAGATACCACCCCTCCATTTCTAGTTTCACCAACCCTGACCCCACCCATGTGGACATATGGGCAGCGATGTAAAATATTTTTAAAGGTTTGGTACAACAGTACTCTAAGTTGGTATAGATTCAGCTTCTTGAAGTTATATAGTCTGGTACTAATTTGTTAAAGTTGAGTCAAATATTTCAAATCAAAATCTTCATAAATATAAAAAATAGATATAAAAATTCGGAGTAAAAGCCTCACTCACCCCGGCCCGGCCCGCCCACCGGGGCAGGCCGCCCCGGCCCGCGCCGGCCGGGCCGCGGGGCGAGTTACTTGAACTTGGCACTGCCGCAGTGCGCGGCAAAACGTCGGTGGCACGTCACTGCAGACGACCCTTACGCACGGTTTCAAGGCGGCAATGTGACTGAAGGTACAGCCTCGGAGCGGCCCGGCGCGCCCGGGCCGCCCCGGAAGAGGAGACTCTCACCTTCCTAGCCGTTTTGCTAAGGCGCGGGCCTCCCGAGTCCGTGACCGGCGGTGTGCAGTCCCCCGGAGTCCAGGCATGATTCACTGCTGATACTCGGAACTTGGCCCTTTCTGTCCACGAGTCCCGGAGTCCGGGCGCGGCTCGCCGCGTGCCAGCCTCCTACGGTACCGGCGGCGGCGGTAGTACGGTTCCGAGTTCCGCCGGAGTTCGGACCGTCCTGCGCGACGCCCGGCCTGGCAACTAAGCGGCCCCGGGTCCTCAGGCGTCGACGGTCGGACCGGGCCCGGCCAGCCTGCCGGGTGCCGTGCCGCACTGCGCCGCCCGGCCCGCCCCGGGGCCTGTAGGCTGAAATTGTTGTCACGTGACCTAGTCACGTGGCCTTGCGCTATGCCCGCAGAGATAATGCTGTAGAGGAATTGGAAGCAGAAGGAAGAGGAGAGAGAGAAGATGACAAGAGCGGACGAGAAGGAAAATTATTTCCGTGCCCCTCAAGCTCGCAGCACGAAGAAGCTTTTGCAAGACTGGCTTTAGCATGCGAGCCGTTCCTCGTGGGAATTTGCCTGAATCGAGATTCAAGTCACAACTCAGTCAGGGAGTTGGAGTCAAGCGGAGGAGGAGGAGGAGGAGGATTCAGTGAGCATGATGCAAAGATCGCTACGATACAGTCACTAGATTTGTTTGCCATTGTGTGTTTCAGGGCAACATAGACTGAACACGTGCAAACTGATTCAACGAAGTTTGTGTGCGAGAAGTTTTGAAAGCTTCCACGTCACTCAACCAACGCCTGGTTGATCTGCTGGCGTCGTTGTTATCATTGCTGGCTTTGTTGCTATAATCCTTTAGAATGTCTAACACTAGTTCCCCTGAACGTCCATATGTGACAACCTCGATGCGCACTCGGAATGAAAACCATGTGACGGATCCGGAAGTCCACAACACATCGGATGACAACGACGTTCATGTGTATCATTACAACAATCAGATTGTAAATACTACCTCTGTGCCTCCCTGCTGCTCTTGCTCTCGAGTTCTCGAGTGTCTCGGGTTCCGAGCAGGAGGGGAGGACAGCTATCACGAGTTGGATGCGAAACACCATGATGGGCGGGTAGTCATGGAGCCACAGCGGCATGAAGTAATCGACCAAGAGGTTCAGATGGTATGAGATGTCACAGCACGTTGACTCACAATTGTGATTGCAGGAAGACGATCTTGCGAATTGTGCAGACATCGCCAAGAGTGTTGTGGCGAAAGGAGTCGCTGCTGCCAAGGCGCGAGCGAGGAGGCCGATGTTCGCAGACACGAGCGAGCAAGCGCATCCGTCTGACTACATCTACGTCCTCACTGCCATGTGCTCTCGCCTGCATCCCGAAGGCACAGCTGAAACCATCATCCTTGCCTTGCGCAAAGGCGAGTGGGTTCGGGGAGCCCTGCGACTGTTTGGCAGCGGGCTGATGAGCTCCCACCTCGACCTTGTGTTTGCTCGCGCGCCTCAGATCGTTCAGTTCTTCCTCCCGCAGCTGATGCACCTGGCGCTGCTCCCAACTTCCGACCGGGGTACAGGCAGCTATCTGGTTAACCTTTCCGCTGATTTTGCTGATGTCAGAACTGCTAGAGGCATTTGTGCTCAGGGTTTGCCGCAAATCTGCCTTCTTTGCGCTCTTGTGCTATTGGCTTCTGTGTGCTCAGGGGACATATCCTCTCAATCAGATTCCGGCCAGTGGAGCGGCAATGCAACAGAAGTCTCTGCGGAGAATCAAACGAAGCAAACCCAAGTCTTCGATGTCGTCGTTGTTTGATTGCTTCAAGACAGCCGAGGCGAACGCGAGTGAATTTCTAGTTGCAGACGAGGCGCTTCAGGAGGTTCGTGTTGATGTGAGTGTGCGAAAGAGTCTGAGTGGAAGAGCAGGAGCGACGTCAGAGAATGATGGATGTGCTCTCTGGTCACCGATACGAGAGGTGTTGCTTCTCGACGGCTTGAAAGGAAGTGACGATGTTTGACAAGGCGAAGGCGCATGAACCTTCAGAAGGCAGAGGGAGAAGGCCCGGCTGCTCTCAATGGGCAGACATTTCAAGGCCGAAAGTTTAACTCAACAGGGGAACCACAGAAGCTGCCAGGTATGTCCTGTTGGCTTTGAAGGGTGTGCTTGCTGCGAGAGATATGCTTGCTGTGAAAGATTTATATGCTGCAGAAGCAAAGATGTCTCCTCACACAGTCAAATCGCCTCGAGAAACAGAGATTGAGCTTGCGGACATGAGAAAGGATGCAATGGAGTCACCGGGTGCGAACTCGTTGAGATGATGATCGAAATCTGAATGTCGTCGTCTGGTAGAGCTTCAGCCATCGCAGCCTGCAAGAGGCTCTCGGCAAAGACAGCACAGAAAGCCAAAGCAACACAAGAAACGTCTCATCCCCATTGATGACGAAGGCGATGAAGCATATTCGAGCGACAACGAGGGGATAGGGGATGAGAAACCGGACGACATTCGACTGGACATCAAGATCGCGAACAAACTCTCCAAGATCTCGTTGACGGCAAGAAGAGCAGCCTTTCACCCTTTGGCGCTGAATCTTTCAACAGCAGACAGTCTCGGCAATCCCGAAAGAGCTGTCAAATTTGTCTTCCAGGGCCTTCGAGCGTGCTAAATCTCTGCAATCCGGACCGAAATTCTCGCCAGGTGGGTGAAGCAGCAGGCATGATACCAGAGAGCTGACTTGTGTCACCTTGAATGCAGCTGAACTCGTATGGCAAGAGGAAGAAAACTTCATGAAGCTTCCGGAGACTTTCTTTCAGCTGGTGAAGGTGAGCGTCGACTCATAGTTGTCCCGGCTCTCATCGTTAAACAGGCAGAAGCAAACTTTGTGAATCACCTTGTGAGCATCTCGCAAGAGGTGAGAAGAAAATGCATGAGAGGAAAGATAGTCAGGAAAGAATGAGAGGAAATCAGGAAATCAGGAGGAGAGGAACTCACTGTAGCTAACATGACGCTTGTCGCAAGTTGTGCGAGCTCGAGCCATCGGAGCGTCTCAACCACCTCAAAGGCGCACTGAGGGTCTTGAACGCCTGCATCCCTAAGGAGGTCGGAGGTGGTCAGGGCCTGAGGCGAGCTCACGCTTCTTCGAGCAGGGAGCTTTCATCCCTCTCAGCACAGCCACAGACAAGGCCAGCTGCATCCTCCGAGTCCCCCCGGACGAATGCTTCGTGTTCAGGTACGAGCCTCCACCACCTCCTCCGCCTGACATGCGCGTCAGCACCAAGGAGCGAGCCCCCTACATGATGTGCGTGGAAGTTCTCTCCCAGAGCTTCAGGTGAGGGAAGTTCGCAAGGGCGACTAGCCGACAGCTGGGCTGCAGGTGGAGCTCGCACAAGGTTGGGACGCACGAGATGCAAGTCGTGAGGGACGAGGAAAACAGCCGAACGCTCGAAACTCAAAGCGACGACCTCACGTCGGACGCGTTCTCAGGCAACGAGGCCACAAGTAGTTTCTCTCCCTCCTCCGCGGGCTTGCTGTCTCCGTCGTACATCTCGCCCGTCCCTCCCATGTACGGGGGTGAGGGAGGTTCAGCGAGAACAAACAGCGTGAGGAAGTGTCCAGCAGAGGATGGCGATGCTGGGGTAAGGCAGCCGCTGCTATGGAAGCATCCTAATCATCAGCCTCAGTTCAATGCCGGGTCAACTGGCGGGGAATACAATGCTCCTCCAGCAGGTCATTAGCAGAGACTGTTTGCGGGGGCAGTAACTAATTTCAACAGCTGGGAGAGAGGACCAAGAGCGATCGGATGAGGCTCGAAGGGAGCAAATTTCCCGCATTCAAGAAGCTGGCCATCGAGTAGATCCGAGGCTGTCAACTCTCAAGGTACTGGCTCAGTCTCTTGTGACCTCGCCAACGCCATCGGCTGCTTGTAGACGGCGCCTGATTGCAAACAATTCGTCGACGACAGAGACAGCCTGACAAACACTCTCGGTGCCTTGTGCCGCTGGAGTGCTTGCATGCCTGACAGGACGACAGGCGAGTCATGGCAGCAACTGGAAGAGAGGATCCGCTCGAGCAGCCCTCATGGTCTTTGCTTGCTTCTGCTTCATCCTCCACCTGACAATCCTAAAGGCTCCAAACCTGGATGGAAGTTGATCTCAGTCATTGTCAAGAGCAGGGACGATCTGCGCCAGGAACAGTTTGCTGTGCAGGTTTTGCCCCGGCTCTTCCTCCTCCGGCTCCTCCTCCGGCTCCCCTTTTTCCTTCCTTTTCTCCTTTGCCTCCTGTTCGTTCTATCCTCTCTCCCTCTAAGCTGTCCTTATTCTTCCTCTCTTCCTTGTCCAGTTCCCACATGTGCATGCAGCCGTATCCGGTGCAATCGCCTGACCTTGAGTCCAGCTGATCACTCTCTTCCAACAAATCTTCAAGAAGGCCAATCTCCCGGTCTGGCTTCAGCCCTATCAAGTCCTCGCAACGTCTGCCGATGCTGGTCGACTGGGATGCACCTCGTGTCGCATGACGAGAAGCTGCAGGGCTCATTCAGGTTGTCAATGACACTGTCAGCCTGCACGGGCTGAAGAAGAAGCTGAGCGGGGGAGAAAGAGGAGCGAAGCATACGAGCTTGAGCAGCTACTTTGAGCAGAGGTGCGAGCCAACGCGAGGAGTCCTTGCGAGGAGTGACGTGCGCGAAGGTACGGGAAGAGCAGGAAGCTAGACGAGCAAGGTAAAAGGAAGAAGGACGAAAAGTACTGTTGCCCACTGATGCCTTCAGCCCGCGAGAATTTTATGCTTTCGCTTGCTGCCTACTCCGTAGTTTGCTACCTTCTGCAGGTTCTGCTCTTCCTTTTCCTCCTTCTTTCCCTCCTCCTCCTCCTTCTCGTCCTTTTTCTTTCCCTCCTCCTCCTCGTCCTCATCCTTTCTCTTCTCCGTGTCTCCTCCTTTTCTGACGCGTGTGCTGTTGCAAGATCAAAGACCGGCACAATGGCAACATACTCATAGACAACGCTGGCCACGTGGTCCACATAGACTATGGCTTTATGCTCTCAAACTCTCCGGGAAACATCGGGTTCGAGAAGGTCGTCTGCTCCTGCCTTGTCGTTGTCTTCTCAAGTTTTGTTAGGCGGCTTTCAAACTGACCAGGGAGATGGTGGACGTGATGGGAGGAGAAGGTGAGAGAACCGAGGAGATGATGAAGTTGACTACATGGGCAGGAGGAAGACTGTTCGAGGAGTTCAAGAACATGTGCGTCATGTGCTATCTGGAAGCAAGGAAACACGCGCACCAGGTCTCTTTCGCATCGCATCTCTTGTTTTCTCCCAATTCGCTGACTCATCCAGTAGATTCTCATGATGGTCGAGATAACTCGAGCGGGTCAACCTGACCTTCCCTGCTTCACCAGCAGGTCGCCTGCCTCCTCCTTGTCTGCTCGGTGACCGCCAGGCAGGACGGTGCTGGAGGAGATGCAGGAGCGATTCAAGTTGGGCCTGAACAGGAAGGCAGCTGCGAGTTTCTTCGAATCGTTGATTCACGAGGCATGCCTTCTGCCCTACCTGCTCCTGCTCCTCGTTCTGCTCCTGCTCCTGCTCTTTCTTCTTTTTCCTTGCTCGTTTCCGCCTCTGACCAGCGGGCAGGCGATCGATCACTGGTGTACACGTCAGGTAGGAGCATGCCGCCGCTTTTCTGCTCCTCCCCCTTCTCTCCTGCGCTTCTCGTCGCCTCCTCATCCTGTTCTGCAAACCTTCTTTCCCCTCTCATTTTCTGGTTTGCAGTATGACAAGTTCCAGTGGCTCACAAACGGGATCATGAGCTGAGGGCAGAAGGTTGAGTTGGAGCACAGGTGAAAGACAGAAGGGCAACTACAGGATTGCGAGGTAGCTGGAGAGCTGGAGAAGGAGAGGAGGGTAGCCCAGGGCATTATTTACTCATCTTCACAACTGTACACAGCCATGTAAATCGTCTTTCATCCCAGGCCTCCCCCCTTCCCCCTCCTCTTCTCTTGAAGATTCAGAAGCAGCAGGAAGCAGAGCTCGCGCTTCCTTGACCCTCTCTCTCGCTCAGGTCAGCTCATTTGCCTCCTTTCACCTTGGCTCGCGCCTGCGCCACGTCCTGAGCAAACGATCGGTCGTCCTCGTCTGAGTCCACAGCGTCACCGTATCGCCAGATGCCGAGATGCGCGTTTCTCGCGCGCTCCTGCTCTTCCTTGAGCCCTGGCGTGTCCTGTCGCCTCCTCTCAAGCTTGGCGAGTCCGTTGCGGAGGAGAAGTGCTGCAACGTTCTCACCCGTCGAGTTGTCGACGAGGGTCACGTGATGGCGACCGGATCGTTCGAAGAACTCAGTCTTAGCGCTCAACACACCCTCGCAGGCCCCCAGCAGGTTCTGCATGAAGCCAGTGGCCTCAGCCATGTTCTCTTCATCTGCCGACGGGACTTTGACATACGCCAGCTTGTACTCGACCGCCTGTGGGGGGATCTGCTGGAAGGAGGGGACGGAGGAAGGGATGGGCCGCAAGTCCTTGAGCTTGACCTCCTCTCGATTGCCAAAGTCACGGAAGAGGACGAGGAACGAGTCGGCTTTGCGTGCCTCCACCTGCGCACGGTACCACTGGTTGTCTGCCGAGAACTTCGCCACGCAGGCCTCGCCGACCTTGGGACTAAAATCAGACTTGCTGCCGTCAAGCTTGGCGTTGGCAAGGCGATCGGTCAGGAGCTCGATCTGCTTGTCAACTCCAGCAGCATGCACGTAGAAACTGACGGGCTCAGCATCTCGACCACAGTCACCATGCTCATCTCTTGAGACGCATGCTCCACCACCTCTGCCGCTGCCTCTGCGGCACGTGCAGCCTCCAACTCGGCGTCGTACCTCTCCCATGTTCTCAGCCTAGCCTGCTGAGCGCTCAGCTCTGCTTGCTCCATCTCGTTAGTGAGATCTCTGCCTGTCGTCCTTGCAAGGCCCTCCTGCAGCAGAAGCGCCGAAAGGTCGCGCTTGTACAGGTAGACCTTGCCGATCATTGTGCCGATCTTGTCCTGCGCAAGGACCTCGACCTCGACGTCATGCTGCAGGCACCTCTCCTTGGTAAACTGAAGCGCTTCCTCACCGTAAGGTTCTCCTTGATCTCCTTCCTTTCTCCCTGTGGATGGGCACTTGACGCCAGCAAGCGCAAGAGAGATGATGCAGCTTTGCTTCGGGATGTACACCTTGACTCGAGCTCCGTTGACAACGTGCTGGACAGTTCCTTGGAGTCTTCCAGCTCGTTGAAGGAAAGTAAACATCTGCTTCGCCTGAGCAAGCGCTGCCTGAGTGGAAATGTCGTTCACATGGCGGGGAGCAGGAGGCTTGTCGGAGTGAATGCCTTTCTTGTCTCTAGTAGCAGCGGCTTCCGCTTGGATCAAATCGTCGTAGTACAGCGAACGGTCCTGGTCATCCTGCCGATGCTTCATAACAGAGGCCAACCCGTTTGCCACGAGGGCAACGGCTACGTTGTTGTTCCCTTCCAGCACGGAGGCGAAGACCCGTTCAGTCTCTGCAGTGGAGTTGGGGAGCTGTCGGATGTAGTCGATGCCGACAGTCACCTTCCTCCCAATAAGCCTCGTGCGAAGAAACTCCCTGGCCTCGAAGGCCCAGGGCTCGTCCTTCTCGTCTCTTCTTCCTATCTTCGGCGCGCGGATGCTTGATAGAGCAACGCGATGCTCCATGGGCGGCACAGCAAAGTCCTTGATGACGAGGAAGTCACCCGAGATGACCTCAGAGACTTTGCCAACAAACTCGGCAGCAGATGCAATCGTGGCACTGCGAGCAGGCGCAACATAGTTCTGCCACATCCTCAGCCTCTTCTCCTTAGCGATTCTCTCGGCTTTGTACAACAGCTCAGGATCCTGAGTGAACTTTGCACTCCAGTCGACCACCTTGGAAAGACCAACTTTGAGCAGCTCCTCGCTGATGTTACCGGCTGGGTGCTTCACAGTCCCGTAAAAGTTGTTGTACTTGTCCACACCCTCCAGCATCACGTGCACATCTCGATTGAGCAGACGGCTCTCCACGAAGTACTTTGCCTCCATCGCAAATGGCTCTGCAGTGTCGGGCAAGCTCGGATCTTCAGCACGCTTGAATCCGGGGCAGGAGATGCCAGACAGGAAGATCGTGACCCAGTGGAAGGAAGGGAGCAAGTAGCCTCGCAGAGTCGCACCGTCACGGAACTGCTCGATCACAAGAGGAATCGACTGGCCTTTGAACGCCTCGAGAACATCCTTAGCGTCGTATCCTCCATCGCCAGGAACCAAGATGTTTCGGATTGAGAGAGCGGATGCGTTTGTCTCCTTGCTCCACATGCCAAGGCTTTGGGCCTGTGCTGCCTGCTCAAGCTGCAGCAACTCATCGATATAGGCATTCTTGGCTACGTTGTTTCCCACCGCCGGCTTAACTTTGGCCCAGCCAGCTGACACGATCATTGCTCCAACGTCCTGACCATTCAAGTAGACGCGCCCAAAGGATTTGCCGATGCTGGCGACGAATTCTTCGAGCTCAAACGTCACTCCCTTCCCTACACAAGCTTTCCTGAGAAACTCGCGAGCTGGCCAGGCAAAGGGCTCGTCCTTCGACTGTCCGTCACGACGGCCGAGGCGAGGAGCAATGATGCCGGATAGAGTGATCTGCTTCTCAGGGGGGGGGCCGTTTTGAGGAGCTCCCATGACGATGAGAGTATCGCCAGACAAGACTGCCTTGACAACAGCAGAGTTCTGACCTGGAGTAGACATGCCTCTAATCTTTCAACAGGTTTCAAACCTGTTAAGTAGGTGAGTTAAACAATCAGAGGAGAGGAAACAACACCAGAGAAATGCTGGCAAGTGGCTTTGAACAAAGCTGAAGGCGCTCTGCAACAAGAAAAGAGGTCAACTTGTTTGTAGCAAGCACGGGAAACCTTAAGAGATAAGTTTTACAACGCTATCTTTTCGTCAGGCAGACGCTTTTAGCTCAAGGCGATATGAAACAAGAAAGGCAAGCATCAAAATGTGAAAATTTGAAGAGGAAGTCATCATTTTGCAGAAATCAATGTCACTCATGCATATACGATGCACTACTCATCAGCCTCATCCTCTTGAAACGTCGCTACACGTTACATGTTCGCACAGACAGTGTTCAATCCATGTCGCTAGCTCCTTCTTATCGTCATCCTGTAAGAATTCTCCTTCTACTTTCTTTGCGACAGATTGTCAGTAGTCATGTATGATCTCGCTCTGTCTCTTCGTTTGTTCCAGATGGATCCTGGTTAGGCATACGACACCATCTTCAGAGCCTGCTCATCTCATGTTTCTGTATTTAGACCATGCTCTATCTATCTTTGATCTACGAAATTGATTTTAGGAATATTTCTTCTTGGATAAACGTATTCTTTGATGCTTCACAAAGTCTTCATTCCAACCATTAGCGCAATACTCGGTACTTTGCATTCTTGTTGTATCCTCTCTTTGAAGCTCACAACTCATTCTAGCTAGCATCAAGTTTGTGTTCGTCAAGCATGGGGCACGCAAATGGTCTACATGTCTTCTCTTCTCTTCTCTTCATCGTTCTCCGTCGTCGTGGTCGTCTGTGGCCGCTATGCAGCACGAGACGATCCGCCAGATCGATTCGACCACCCCTACCACCCAAACAAACAAATGCTGACCTACCCCATCTCTGTTGTCAAGACATCACCCCGTCATATCACCTCTACCCCCCTGGTACAATTCAAAATGTTTGAACTACCCTACCCCCTCTGGCGCTCAGGGGGTCGGTTCTCTTGCGCTAGACACGTTGCCACCCGACCATGTACATGAAAAAAAACAATTTTTTTCCTTTACAGCTTTATTTCCGACATCGCTTTCACTGAGCGTTTTTTTTTTATTCTTCACTCGGCACTGAGCAGCAATCAGATGATCATCCGATGGCATGCAGCGCCGGGCTGAATTACAACATATCATCTTTTCAAGGAGACGGGGACGAGCAAACCTTGTTTCGACAATAGGCAGTGTTTAGTAGCCCATTTCGTTCAAATCCCCTTTTGGAATTTTTTAGTGACAAGGTAATTTAATGGATCTGCTGCTGTACATATACTTTAGACTTACCCTAAGGTAGGCTAAACCCTAGTAGTAATAGTTGAGTTTATTAGAATGCTAGGTAGGTTGCATGGCTTGTTATCACCTTGCTCTATTCTAGTCTAACAGGGATCTCGTAAGGGTTTAGGGTTTAGGATTTGGGGTTTAGGGTTTGGGGTTTAGGGTTTAGGGTTTAGGGTTTAGGGTTTAGGGTTTAGGGTTTAGGGTTTAGCGCTGGAGTAACAGACATGCTCTCCTCCCCTGCAGTTTGAGGGGATCCCTGCGAGCTAGGGTGCTGAACAGGATATTTTTCTGTGCAGAAACGGTTGTTTGATCATGTGGTATCTATCCAAAGAGGAAAGGAAACAGATTGCTCGCGTCCGAGTTTCCCAGTTCCTAAACAAGGACACGACGCCTTCAGCACCTTCGCTAGGAGAGCTGATCCGAAGATTGGAACACTTCGTCAGGCAGTACCCTCAGAGCAGGACAGGCAGAGCCTTGCAGTCCAAGGAAGTCTCGATGAACGCCTTAGCCGAAGCCATTCGACAGACCTGCAAACATGCTGAAGTCAGGAGCCAGGAGGATGCCATCAAAGAATGGGGGGAAGAAGGACAGTCGTGGTATGTCTCTGCATGGAACGCAGACAAACAGGAGGTACTAGACAAGAGTGCCTGCATCGATGCTTCAGGAGCGTCCCCCGAGAGTGGTAAACTGATTACCATGGCTATCCTCGGAGTTCCTACCCAGTACATAAAACAAGTTGAGGTACTGTGTGAGAAGTTGAAGGATCAAGGACTCTTGGTGCACGAGGAGCAGGGCAAGAAATGCATCTCGTGGAGAGCCCCGATCAAGAAAGATTTGATTCCGACAGTGGATGAAATCCCAGTCGTGGCAACACTCCAATTGAACGACGCAGCAGAACTGCTGTGGAAAGGACAGACGAACTTCAGGATCGACGGAAAGATGATCCGCGCGGTGAACGCGCATTCGAAGCATCCTTGCTCCTTCAAGATAAGGCCACAGAAGGATAAGCACTCTGGCAAGGCGGGGGCCCTAGCTGAGTTCTCTCACCTCCTCAAGATGAATGGCATGAACTCAGCCGGGATTACGGAGATCTATCGTCAACACCTGCTGCAACAAGGAATAGCTGTGTTGGAGGTGCAGCCGGAAGCGGGCATGCAGCTAGAGGTCAAGACGAAGAGGAGACCTCAAGGTCAGCCCAACAAACGCACTTTCGCAGCAGCCGGAGTGGACGAGATACGACAAGGAAGAGAGATCGATTGGATTGCGAGATGCTCTTCGACGGACGTCCTGAGCACCACGCTACGGATGTTTGAGGGAGACGACAGGAATGGAGGAAGCATACACCTCGGACTGATGTCGGAAGATGAAAAGATCCTCAAATGGTTCACTACTCAGGTTAGTGCAATCACCAGGGTAACGAGACAGCATCCAATTAGGTTGGACTTCTTGCCCGACGCGCTAGGAGCAGTACCACGAAGAGTGACCTATGAGGTACTGGTCAAGAGTAAAGCACAGAAGGGAAGGTTCACCAGAGAGGAAGCTGAACAGATCTGCGACGGGGAGGATCTCTCTATGGGCATGACAATTCGAGGACTGAGACGGATCGTGGCGAGCTGGAAGGAGTCAGCGGCTGAGCACATCGTCAAGATCTCCTCGAAAGAAGATGTCGAGACCAACAGCTGGAACGGTGAACATCTAGTGCTCAGCTTCTCAGAAAAAGAAACGGCGATTGACATCCTCAGGTCCTTTGCGCCATGGGACAGGGCAGGGAAACTTCTTCTCCTAGAGCCAGGCAGTGCCAACATCTGGGAAGCGATCGCTACAGAACCCCCTACAGAGCCTCTTTGGGCTCAGGTAGATCTCGAACGGATCGAGAATGAGATCAACATCCCAGAACCAGAGGCAAACGTGGTCCTCGAAGACATCTACAAAGTTCTAGAGGAGACTGTCAACCAGGGACAGAGTGCAGAAAACCAAGCTTGCAAACTCAGGCTCGATGGAGCCATCGTCGGCCTGTACGACAGCTTGTCATCTCCTGGAAATGCATGTTTTCCGACACTGAAGGAATGGGCGGAATCATCCTCGGCAACCCAGGACGACGACATGCAAGTTTTGAAGAGTAAGATTGCAAGAGTAAGCGAGCAGCATGCGTGGGAGACGGTAGCATCAAGAAGACGCCAGGGAGCCTTTGCAAAAGCAACAGGGAGAGGAGGGGAGAAACAACAAAAAGAATTTCGAACTGACCTGTTGTTTCTTGCCCTGAATAAATTAGTTCTCACAGCTACGCTAACCTACCAAGGCAGCGTTGGCTCGGGAGACGAAATTGAGTTTCTCTTGAGCAAGGCAGAGGAGGAGATGGGACTGGAGATGGAAGAGGAGAGTGGCAACCAAGAGGGAGAGGTTGCCTCTCAACTCTAAAACCGAATCATGACAGGAGGAGGAAGGGAGGAGGAAGGGGGGAGTGCCGGGAGTAGGCAAGGGGGGGAGATGGAAACGGTTTCAAAGGAAACGCAACATGTAGATAGAACACTGTATTTTTTTGATTGGATCGAGGAGATCCCATGGTCAGACAAACGAGGCGACAAGGAATTTGGCATCACTGCCCTGAACAATCGAGGAGTAAGCGGATTTTTATGCGAGAACATGATCGAAGTTACTCTCAATGAGATGAGCAAGGCTCTTCAAGGAGGACGAGCAATACACATGGTACGCAAAGGGAGAGCCCACGAGGACCAGCAAACGCGGAACATCATCTTCTTGCCAAGGGTAATATCCAGTCTGCGAGACGAGGCGTCCCGCTTGAGAGTCGGGAACAGATTTCACCTCAGCAGCTTGAGAGATGAGCAACACACCTTCCTGTTTCCAACTATCATCCACAGCAACCACTGGATTCTAATTGCATTAAGATATGATCGGCGATGCGCGTACATATTGGACCCTCTCTGCGAGGACAGAACGAGCACAACGAGGGACCCACGAGGGATCGAGGGAGCGAGGAATCTTGCAACAACGGGGGAGCACGGAGCAAGAGAAATGGCTGAGCTGACAATCGGAGTGATCGAACACATCTTTGACGATCAGACCAACGCCCCATGGCAGGTAAAGTGGTGCTCAGCCTTCCAACAGGAAGATAACTTCAACTGCGGAGTGTTCGCTATCCTTCACACCCTACTGCTCTGCGAGACAAATCAAGACTGGCTAGCAACGATGGAAACGAGGACAAGACTAAGACCTCCGCAAGAATGGCTGATGCAAACCAGAACACAACTGATCGAAGCTCTCACCCATCTGGAGAAGATGGAGGAAACGGCCCAGGTAATTCTGCGATCTCTGCCGAAGGAGGCGAGGGTGCAAGAGAACTTGACATCGACGACAAAGCCGGAGGAGGAGGTACAGCCGAACGCAATCCAGCGGCTGATGACCTCGACGACAAAGCTTGAGGAGGAGGTACAGCCACACGCAATCCAGCGGCTGATGACCTCGACGACAAAGCTTGAGGAGGAGGTACAGCCACACGCAATCCAGCGGCTGATGACCTCGACGACAAAGCTTGAGGAGGAGGTACAGCCGATCGCAATCCAGCGGCAAGCGACCCCCACGAAGCCCCAACCAAGACATCTGGGTGAGGAAATGGAGGAGAATGCACAATCAGGAGAGAA